AAACGCAATAATGTAATTAAAGTCATACTTTAAATATGACATGATCGGTTTGTCATAATTTGGAAATGAACCTTCATTAGAAAAATGAAGTAATTGCTGATTAATAAATTCTAAAAAATTTGTCCACACAGTGGAATATGTTAAATAACGCCTAAATAAATATTGTTTTCGCAACTTCACTCATCATGTAATTGTGTTTGAAGAACTTCATGTAATTAAAATTAACATACATTCATTGACTGCTTGTATCTTTTTACTTTTTCGCTGGCGATATAATCTCATTCTTTGAACAACTGTAATGTCTGTCTTGCCTAAAAAATATTTCTCATTTTAATAACTTCAAAGATTTATAGAAACTACGAATAATATAGAAATAATTTCTAATCAATAAACTTACGTTTAGTACACGGCCCAAATGTTTAATTTCTTTTATTATTTTCAAGGAACAGGTTAAAATGTTCTTCCGATTCAGGCATTTTTCATTAAATCAAGATTTGTACTACGATGTAACTTTAAAATGTTCATTTATTTCCTTGTTGATATCAGTACGCATACAACGTTGATGCCGGTACATATATAACGACAGATCTCTACTCACATACACGACGATTAATTACAATCGACCCCTATAGAAATCGAGAGCAAATAACGAACAGTTCGGGCGTAACGGACTTCCGTTGCATTTGTACCGATTTACACCCTAGTCGCGCCTAAAGAAGTTTTACTTCAAAAATGTATTATTTATTTTTATTTTAATTTTACAATTATTTAAAATTTTCATATAACTCGACGTTTATCAATTTGTGTTTCATAGTTCTTTCGTGCAATTTTCGTATGTATTTGTTTTTTTTTTCAATTTATTTGTATGGTGAGTTCTTTTCATTTGTTTATGTCTATTTTTGTATTTTCACTTTTATACACTTTCACAATATATATTTTTTATAAAACAAATTTATTAAGTTGATTAGATTTATGCTTTTTTACATGTTTTTATTTATATTTTCTTTAATTGTGTTTTTTTATATTGTTTTAAATTATAACCCTGAAATTTTTTGTAGCAATGAAGATGGGTCAAATCAAGACCCGAAACGTATGTTTTCATAATAAAAATATTTTCCTTCGATAAAACTGTTTTTAATTACTGGATGGATGCCCAAAACAACTTTATCATATATTATTTCACCATCTGAAGAAAAACCTCTCGCTTTATATGTATATATGGTTATATATATATATATATATATATATATATATATACATATTTATATAAATATTTATAAATATTTATATATTTACCATTACAATATTTTCAATCAAAAAATAATTTAATGTGAACTACAAGGTGGTATTCTGAATGCGTAAACTTCTTTCTACTTCTTTTTTGTTTAATCAAATTAAAAACTTAATAAATATAATACTCGTTATATCATTGTAATTATTAAAATAATATTATATTAATTAAATATCAGCTGCTTATAAATATTGAATTTATTTCAAAATAAGATATAGTGAAATAGTGATTATGTTTTCAATACATTAATAGTTAATAGCATTACAAGTTTATTATGATATTTTTAATGAAAAAGTTATGAAGCATATTTCTTCAAAAAAGTTATCAGGAACCTTGTATTGTTACAAAATTATAAATTTCATATTTTGATTATAACATTCTGGTAAAGGACATATTCTTATATATGTGATGAAGCAGCATTATTATAAAAATATATTTATTAGAGATTTTTAGAAAAGTTTGCACACAAAATGTGTGATGTACTACTTATGATGTGACTAAACCCTACTTGTGCTTTAAGTTGCATTTAAAGCTTTTATAAAAGACTGTCAGTCAGTTATCCTTCATCAGCCTTTTTGTCACCTCATTTGTTAAATCGTAAGCTAAACGTATCGCAATAACATCAAGTGCATATCCACAGTACACCCTAAACTTATCTTCCAGGAATGGTTTATCTGCTGCAACATATTGCTTCATCATCGAATCAATGAAATTAAATTTCACTTTCTTATCTTCAATATTCTTGGTAAAAACTAAATAGCAAACTATCGAACAGTGCAGTTCAAATTCTAATAGAACATGTCCTCCTGCTTGCGCACTACAGTTTATTGTCTTAATAACATCAGTGACATTAGCATTCAAAGCAGATGCTATTTTAGGAATATCATCTTTTGAAAATAAAGCTTGAGCAAGAGGTGTGAGCATTATTGTCTTATTATCGTAATACTTAACCTCAGCAACCTTGTTAAAAGTACATAAAGCTAATAACCTAGCTTGCTTTGCTAACAAAACAATATTATTCATTACAATGCTCAAATATTTCTGATAAGGGATTGATATATTTTTACAAGTAATAAAAACCCATTTACCACCTTTATCGCCCTCATTTGGAAAGCAGAACTTACAACTAAAGAGGTTAGTGTATTTGTTCATATTTTTGCCGACAAATCCAATTTCATGAAATACTTTTGCTGCAAATTCAAGTGCCTTTGATCTAGTGTTCAGCATTACTTCGTCAGCATAATCTGGACATATTTCAGTAAACTTTTCTTGTAACTCAGAAAATATTTTCACCTCATCTGGTTCATTACATACTTCTGTAGATGGAAATGCTGCAATAACATCAGAGTCCTTCTCTAAGTTATTATTAGATGATAAAAATGTAAAATTATCGGCAGAATCCAAAAGAGAAGCTAATTCACTTTCTTCAACGCCAAAGCAACGAGCTATGCTAGCAATTGTGGAAGCTCTTTCACTCATTTTCAGTTCTGTTGAGAATAATTAAATTAACAATAGTTGTCCAATAATTAACTCTACCTGATACTTGCCTTCTAATCCTAACTTAGCAATCAAATTGAGGATTAATTCGCCGGTAATTTTTATTATTACAATTTGTTCTTTCGTCGACCCGTTTTTGCACAAACTTTGAGGTGACAGCTTAATTTATGGACCAGGGATTCACAGAGTTATACTGATGTTTTACAACCTATTTAAAACCTTATCACTTTCCACTATTTCTGAACATTTTATGTTCTACACAAAAAGTTTACACTTTAAAAATCACTTTAGAATTGATATCGTATGTAAGTAAAATTTCAACGTACCTTTCGGTCAATATGCGGCAAAGTTCACTCGACTACTACAAACATCCAATCAAATGATATTTTGCGGTCAAGCGAACTTATGCTTACTTCACACCTATTTAAACTTGTTTATTTATCTATGTGTTTATCTATGACTTATTACTTAATACTTATTTACAGCGTTTTTTAAGTTTGCCTTTCTTTAAATTTGCCAAGAGTATCAGAATAAAATAATCTGAATTTAAATCGCCCAATGCGTTAGGATAGCACAAAGCCGATTTTTAAGTTACCCTCTCTAATATCACATTTTGTTTGCTGTGGAGTCTCATGTCATCAGACCAACACTGATATAAATAATACATATAATATATTGAAATATACAAAAATAAGCACATAATTAATATATACATAGATAAAAGAAGAGTATCTATGAGAAGAGTATCTATGAGAAGAGTATTTATTGTTTTGTGTAGACGCTCATAGTTGGAGTTAGACGCGTCTACACACAATGTCTTTTTCTTAACTTTCCTGACGAGAGCGTTTGTTTTTGGAATATGTATATTAGATTTGATCAAATACGAAATATTTATTAACTTCCCGAAGGAGAAGTTTAGTTTTCATCAAAAAATCCGATTCGCTAATTTTATGTTTTCTCGAAGTTTGCATACTGAACCGAATGAGACTAAATTTGGAAAAAGGAGGTGTGTGTGTATGTGTATGTGAACAGAATTTTTGCCGTAAATCGACGATTTCTTAAAAACGGCTAGACCAATTTCAAAACTTTAAAAGCCATTCGATGTATCTCGATGAGGACTAGCGTTTACCAATTTTGCGCGACGATTTAGCCAAGCCATTTCTTTGTAAATCGCAAAAAAGCGAAAAAAAAATTTGTCCACGTTATAGCCTGCAATTCTGAATCAATTTTGAAAATTTAAAAGCTGTTCGAAAGATATTGGTTGGGTATCGTGCTTATTAGTTTTGGAAAAAACTAAACATATAATATATTGTAATATACAAAAATAAAAACATAATTAATATATGCATAGTACATTATTATTGCATTATAACCATGGTAAAAATCAGCCGAGCCGTTTTCTTGTAATAAAGCGTTAAAAAGAATTTCGACGATTTTTATGATTTTTTTTTGTTGACGGCAGATACCATAGTCTTATAGATCATACTAAAATATTACGGCCCTACGACAAGTCGTTTGATTTTAAAAAAATTTCAAAATTTGGAAAAATTAGTATCGTTTTTTTGGCATTTGTCAAAATTAGACTTTCATCGATGTTTGCTCAAAAATGCCTGAACCGATTTCAAAAATTTAGAAGCCATTCGATGTATCTCGATGAGGACTATCGTTTGTCAGTTTTGTGTGACGATCTGCCAAGCCATTTCTTTATAATTTGGAATAAAGTGTTAAACTTTTTGTCCACTTTTAATCTCATACTACCGAATCAATTTTAAAAAAAGAGTGTGCGTAAGGATCACACGCGATTGAAGTAAAACTTATGTGCTACTGTGCAAAGTAGCAAATTTAAGTTGAGTAAAACTAAATACATCATATAACAATTTTGAATAATGTTTATTAGTAATATGGTAACACTCGTGATGCACACATTTATTAGTGTCACTGTCAACCATTATACACATTTATATAATGATAAATTATAAATTATTTATTTATGATTGCGTTAAAAATATGTATAATATTTACAAACAATAATGTAATCAAAGTCATACTTGAAATATGACATGGTCGGTTTAAAGTAATTGCTGATTAATAAATTCTATAATATTTGTCCACACAGTGGATTATGTTAAACAACGCCTAAACAAATATTGTCTTCGTAACTTCATTCATCATGTAATAATTGTGTTTGAAGAACTTTATGTAATTAAAATTAACATACATTCATTTACAGTTTGTATTTTTTTACTTTTTTGCTGACGATTTAATTTCATTCTTAGAACAGCTGTAATATCCCTAGATAAATAAGCATAAATAGTAATATCTGTCTTGCCTAAAAAATTGAAGCCATACTTTTATATTAATTTTATTTTATTTATAAAGCCTATGAATTTTTTTTTATGTGAACGTTAATGCAATGGTTATCATCAGTATTACGAGGTAATCAAATAACCATCATTAACGTCAACAGGCACATTTATAATTTGTCCCAATATTCCAAATTGTCCATTTGCATGTCGCAATCGTCTAATTTGCATGGAACACAACCTAGTTGAAATTAACCTTTCAGATACAGTATCTAGTTTAGGTAGATAATTTGGTATAGGTGGAAAATACAAGCCCGTTAAATTGACACAAAGTGGGAATTTTTCCAGAATTTAATGCCTTTCGACAAGTTTGACATCCAATCTGATTATTTGAATCAGTATTCAGAATTATTAAGAATTTGTTTTTGAGCAATATTTGATATTTTTAAATCATTTTGAAACCAAAGTCTATCACACACAAAGCATATATAGCCAAAGCTATCATTTGTAAATTGTTTTTCAAACAATTTTCGTCCATTCCTAAACAAATGGAATTCTTCATAGGGAAGTTCAATGGAAAACCATGTAATCTCATTGTTTTCTTATTTCCTACGCAACCAGGAACGTGACAAGTCATTTTTAACACCCACCCTCACTGCACTTCTATAAGTTTATATGGAAAATTCTTTAAACTTCACCAACTAATCGGGGATTAGTTATATAATAACGTAATGGGGATTTACGAGATTTACCGGCACAGCACAGTATATAGCGACTACACATGACATGACGGGAGTGGATACTCGCGACATCTGCGCTAACTAGCGTCGTAAGTTTCAACTTCACGTTGGCGTTTTCGTTCCATTTGTACGGATTTACACCCATGTCGCGCCTAAAGAAGTTTTTACACCCATATCGCGCCTAAAGAAGTTTTACTTCAAAAATCAAAAACTGTTCGAAAGATATTAGTTGGGAATGATACTGATTAGTTTTAGGTGAAAATCTACCGAGCCGCTTTCTTGTAATTAACTGCTGAAAAAAAAAAAAACCGATTTTTATAGAGCTTTTTTACTGAACTTACTGAAATATTATCTTCAGTAGTTTAATTTTAAAAATTCATCAAAGTTTGAGAAAATGAGTATTTTTTTTGACGATAGAGTGTTTGTTCGTTTTCAACGATGTGTAATAAATCCTCGGAATACTTTTAATCACTTATAAATTAATTTATTTTTTATTGATTAAGACGATTCCTCAAGGCAAAATACCAATACTAACTATAGTTTACTGATAATTTTTTAAAATAATAATGAGTTGTTTCGATCCACAAATTAAAAAAAATGCATTTAATTATATGCGGAAGATAGAATATTTTGTAAGTTTGTAATTAACTTAAAAATGAGGCGTGTCCTCATTGTCAAGGCTGAAGAACGAGAAGAAGAGGAAGTAGAAACATTTAAAAAATATGTCTCCGTCGAATAGATATAGCTGCTTTTTTATAATTGCCGCCTTTATTTTTACCAACACAAATTCACAAATGTTATTTTCAGAAAAAAAACAAAATCACAATTAATTCGTGAAATAGAACTACTGGGTTAAATCTCGTAAAAAAACGCGCTAAGCGCACTACCCCCATAATACCCCGTAGGTGGCGTTCAAACGTACTTTTAAGTGATATATCTTTAAAACGGTAGCTCTGAGGGAAAAAAGTATTGATACATTTTTTGCAGATAATTTTATGCTGTGCAGTTTTGTCCAAGGTAATTTTGCAATAAAACTGACTATTTAGCTGTATAATTCCTTTTTTGACCTTTGCCCATGTGCCAATTTTTTAGCTCGCATCGTAACGATGAAAACTTTTGTGATTTCTTTTATAATTGTATTTTAAGCAATTTTATCAAGTTACAGCCCACTATGAATTATTGTAACCTTCACCCTGATTTAGGTTTAAATTGACCGGGCTCTTTAGGTGTAATAATATTTAAAGTTGTGTATTGATAACAAAATCTACAAAAAAATTCCAATGTAATATTGACCGCTGAACAGGAATCTGAAGTCAAAATTGGGAGTCAAATGGCAGAAAATTGAAAAAAAAAATAAAAAAACGACAAAATCTTTTTCTGACTCATTTTAAATTGAATGACATTGGGTTTCAATTAAATGATTTATAGATTTTTTGTATAATTAGGCAATAATATACAAACATATTTACTTCCTATTCTCCTTGAGTTATCTGCAACGAAGCTTGCGATTGAATTTTTGCAAATATGTTGTTTTGTAAAAAAAAAACTTAATAGATAATTTAGGTGAATACCCAACAGTCATTTAAGGCAAAATGAGCCAGGACACAACAGAAATTATAGGATATAAATTATCGTGCAGAAAAATTATTAGGTCGAAGATTTTGTCGTTTTATTTGATTTTTCAATTTGACCTTCAGATTTGCCTTTAGATTTTGTAAGCGGTAAAAACTACATTGAAAAACACATGTCGCACACCCAATACTTTTTTATTGTGAACCTGCGTAATTCTCGCATAAATACCATCGGCGGTAAGTAAGGAAATGTGTGGTAAAAAGCTACCTGCGATTCAAATATTATTAATCTATTTAAAAAAATAACTAACTAGGGGCATAGCTACCACAGTATCAACTGTATAAATGATACGGGGCCCCGGACAAGGAGCCCGCAACGAGAGTAAGCAGAAATTAATAAAAACTAGCCAAAGTAAATACTTCTGACATAGTTGGCATTTACTTTTATTATCGATATTAAATTTTATTTTATTCAAAGAATCACAAGAAATCATATGGAGGGAGGGTCTAGTAAGATATCGCGATACAGCTTCACAAACATAAAACTCACCTCTTGAGTTTGACTGGCTGCAGCGGTTTTGTTAAGAGTTAACTCTTAATCAAATAAAATGTTATTTATGCTTTAGGTGTATAAATAATAGCACAATAAATGTTTATCACAATAATATATTACCTAAGATTGAAAATACAGTTCATTAATTTCAATACAAAAAAACTGTCATTATACAAATTAATGAAAGATATTAATTAAATATAATATACAACACTAACCAAATCTATATTAAGAATGAAATGTTAACACTAATGATTTGGAGATATTGATCATTGTAATGAGACAAACATATATAATATATGCTTGTATATTATAAAAAAAATCCAACTATTACAATGATCAATGTCTATAGTTCAAGTTTTCATTTTCTAATCGAGTTTGTAGCATTCATATAAACATTTATTTGACGTTCATACATTTATTTAATTATGTAAGTAATCTATATAACATTTATATAATATCAGATATTACCAAGGAAAACATTGAGTTGTCTAACATTATATCTGAAAAATGTTTATCATCTCAATGTTCCTAGAGTCAATGAAATCACAACTTTTGTATATAGTAATTTAGTATATAGTAATTTTACATGAACAGTTTGTCATCTGCAGTGTTAATTTTTAAATGTATTTTGATTTAAAATTTAGATTTAATAAAAACAAATTTTGTCCATACAAATATTATGTGTACAACTATGGTTCCGACATATTTACGATACCAGATCTTTACTATAAAATCTCAAATTTTAAGGAAAAAAAAACAGCGGAAGCAAAGTTGCACAATATTATAATTGAAAAATAAATGAAATTAATAAATAAGTGTTAAATAATTATTTAATTATAAACTATACTACTTGTGTAATACTCTTTGTTAAATTATTTATATTTATCATTGATCATTTTATGAAAAGCAAAACTTGAAACATGAAAATTTGATCATTAAATATCCTAAAATTCAATTCAATCGGAAACGCAAAAGCTTAAGAAAATAAATATTTTTTACATTTATATTAAATAGCTCATACTGATTAAGGAACCAATTTTCCGATACAAAAAGACCGTTACATAGCGTTGTAATGGCAACGCTATGTAACGGTCCTTTCTTCATAAAAATTTGTACTAAAAACTGTTAAAATGCTATGTATTTGCTGCGTTTTACATATAAAACCTAACTTCACGTGTGTGTTTTCAAAGACACATTAGAAAGATGCACTTATGATAACATTATGCGTTTGTCCGTTTTTTAGGTTTTAAACACAGCAAATACATAGCCTCTTGACAATTGTTACTAACAATTCGTATGAAGATTAAACCGTAACATACCGTTGCCATGTTATATTTCTACTTTATTAGAAAATTGGCCCCTAAACACTTTTAAACATAGCCAAAAAAACGTAAATATATATTTTCTATTAAGCTGTGATTTCATCGAGTCATATCGTTTCATTATTAACAAATTTATAAACTACAAAAACCTCAATAGCATTTGTGCTCGTTTCGATAAAAGGCACAGAAAATGCATTTTTCATCTTTTCGATATTATTACTTCCACACAATAAACCACAAAAGTTAAAAGGTATTCATTGTTACATTAATAATATAATATTGTTGCGCTTAATTTTGAACAACGATAACCATAGACATAGATACTTATTTTAGGGTTTATTCATTACGTGACTTATACGAAACTTGTGCTTCATACATTTAACATACAAAATGGCGAGTGTCTTGTGATAGAAAATAAATGTGAATTAACTTTAAGTTTATATCTTTTGAAATGCAAATTAATTTATTCACTGTTTATTTATTATTTATTCACTGTTAGTTAAATTTTGAAACTTTAAACTATATATTATTTTAACGCCTTAATTTTTTAACATAAATATTTAATAAAATTACGCAAAATATATTTGTATTCAATATTAGTCAAATCCAAAATAGTTTTCAATTTTGCATAAATTTTTATTAAATGTTTATGTAACATAAAATAGCACATTCACGTTTACTCGCAATTTAAATACGTTTCAAAAATAAAACCGTAAAGTATTCGCGCAATGAAAGAAGAGTGTCATCGGTGTTGCTTCCATGTTACGTATCCGTCACGTGCTACGTCCTATTAACAACTTGTGGTTTGCTGCGTTATTTATATATAATTAATAAATGTTTTATTTTGTACGGATTGTTCAATTTAAATACATACATATATATATATATATATATATATATATATATATATATATGATCTTGTATATAAGTATGTATATATAAATTAGGCACTAAGAGATGCACATCAAGGCATTTTACAATAGTTTTTGTAACTTATGTTCTTAAATATTTTGGTACATATAAAATCTACAACTGTATGATATATACATCGTAAAGAAATCTAAATATAAGCAATATGAATCTACATATATATATATATATATATATATATATATATATATATAATTAAATGAAATTAAATTAGTAATATGAAACAATTTTTAAACGTTAGCTTATATTTAAATTAAATTAATCGAAGGGTTTTCAAATATCTTATAAGCATTGGCCAAAGAGGAATACCCCAAATTTTACAAAAAAAACTTTCTGAAAATGATCAATACATTTGCTAAAACAATCAGCATAAATATGGATGGATCAAATGTAATCTTATTAAATTATTTGGCATTTATTTCATAAAATGTCTTTTGATGATTTCTATAAATTAATGAACATTTTATATTCCTTGCTATTATATTGTCAAAGCAAATGAGCAATTTGTAAGTTCATGTATATTCTTTTCATGATATATATATATATATATATATATATATATATATATATATGTATTATGGGGGTCCTTAATATGGACATTTTGGAATTTTCTTCTAAATTGAAGAAAATAATTCTCTATAAGTTTTAACTCTTATTATTGTCTTTTATACATTGCGCAATACAATCAAAGTTTTGTATAGAAATAGCATGAAAAACTTTTAAAAATTTAAAAAATGTTTTAGATATAACTTAGCAAACAAATGAATAAGAATATTCAAAATTTGACGCTCTGCAAACAAATTATAAAAAACCTATTTTGTAGAGCGTCGAATTTTCAATAAAAGATGAAACAAATTGTCACTTTTAATTTAGTTGTCGCTAAGTTATACCTAAAAAACATTTTTAAAATTTTTTCCATTTTATTTCCATATGAAGCTTTGATTGAATTGCGCACTATCTAAAAGAGCTAAAACTTTTAGAGAATTATTTTTATCAATTTGGAAGCATTTATGCCCCTGGGAGCAAGGAATTTCGAAAATGTCCATATTAAGGACCACCCTATGTATATATATGAATTAGTAGTTAATTTTGATGTTGAAATATATGAGTGAGTTCTTGAGGGCGATACATCAAACAAAAAAATTCAAATTCTTTGATGTATCGCCCTCAAGAACTCACTCATATATATATATATATATATATATATATATATATATATATATATATATATATATATATATATATATTAATGTTTCTGTGTGTATATACAATACTTTTTATGATTTTATGTTTTTGATAAAATAGCCTCCTTTTATTTGAAAAAAAAAGTTTTATTTAAATTTATATCATCGATATTGGATGTCAAGATTGGTAGAAACAAACCAAAAAAAACTTAGACATTTATACTCTTTATTTAAATTTGAAAGAAATCACCATTTATCTTTGAAGTATTTAAATCAAAAATATTTTAAATTAATAAATATATATATATATATATATATATATATATAAGTAAATATAATCAAAATATTATATATGCATTGATTGTGAAAAAAATAACTTAAATGTATACATTCAAAATCTTTTTATTTTCATGAAACAAACTTTCCGTCAATGCCTATAAAAATTTAACAGAACTTATAAGAGTGTTTAAACAATATGTTTTAATTATACATATTAAATATTTTTTACAGCATTGAAGGATTTAACAACAATTACGATTAGTTTTGTTTACTTTGAATTGATTGTAAACAAAATTAGCATTTCAAATGTTTACATGAAAGTTTTTTTCAAAACAATTTATCATTTACAAATATACATAAATAATACACATACATTAAGCAATAATTACATAAACTGCAATTAACAATGAAAATTACATTAAATATAATATTTACACCATGCTCAAAAGAACTAAATAATAAATAATTAATAAACTTAACTAGATTATAGAACCTACTTCGACATTCTTAAATTTGTAGTTTGCGCTTATAAATAATAATACATCTACAGTTAAATAATAAATGATTAAAATTAAATCAAACCAGTTGAATCAAAATGAAAAATACATGTTAAATGGGTTTTGTAGTTTTTAACAGTATTTCAAGTACAACCATACAAATTCATACATTGTTCATACAATCTAACTTTAACGTTTGCTCTATATCAACAAATGATTCCCCGTTCCATCGTTAAAGATTTCCTTGGTATATGACAACATTGGCCCCCACATTGCGAACAAAGCAAACAAGTCACAGTGTACGCCACTGTATTTTCAAAATTACCCAAATTAATATTCTCTTCATTCCCTTCATCGTTTTTATCATTTTCAGTCTGTTTATCCTCCTCGCCATCCGTGTTGTCTTGTTGGAACTTTTTGCACAAGCTCAGAACGGTGTTGGAGGTGTGCAGCGCTAGATGGCTCTTTCGAGACACCTTTGGTGTAGTTGGCGCATCAGGAAAAGATATGTAGACAGATGCTTTTGTTATTATTTCTGGGTATTGGATTTTATCTTCGATGTCTTTTATATTCGTGAAACCGTTGGTACAAATTTCGTTTTCGTCTTCTGGTTCTTCTTCTGACGTGGTGTCTTCGCTCGGGTTGAATCGTTCTGTAAAGTTTCCTCGGACGTTGATTTTGCCAAGGGTTTTTCGATCTCTATATTCGAAGTTTCGATCAACCAAGGATGATCCAGGCATTGTTCGACCGTAGGCCTTGATCTAAAATAATAAAAAATGTTCAACTAGTTGTAAAATACGTATACATTATCAACTTAATCAATAAGATACGAGATTCAGGTATTTAGCTAAAATGTTCAACTGTTATTTCGAAAATAATATGCGATTTCTAATTGATGTCTTTCAAATATACTTATACCAATATCTGTAATTGTATAAGTTAAACTAGTGGGGCGCATGGCACCGTGCCTTAAGGCAAATTGCTGAAACTTCCCGTACTAAAAATAATTTTTTATAAAAAAAAATTATTTTCAAAAAAAATACTATGAAAAAATTAGATTTTTGAGTAACTATAAATTTTTGATAAAAATTTACTTTTTTTGAGAAAAAAGACTTTTCGAAAAAAAATGTTTTCTTTATTTTGAAATATTTTAGAAATTCTGAACTTTTTAACTTCCCGTAGGGCAAGTTATAGTAATCGCAAAAAAATCAAAAATGAAAATTTTTATATATCTTTACGTTTCAGAGGTTTCTGAACATTTTGGCATACCTTAGAAAAAATGGATGTATGTGTGTGTGTGTGTGTATGCAGCGGCGGCGCTAGACCATTCGTGGGCGTCGGCGAAATTCGTTTGCGAGGCCCCCCTTTTTTGCCAGTTGCAAGTTGACTAGTGGTTCATGGCATCATGCCTAAAGGCAAATTGCTGAAACTTTTCGTGCCGTAATTTAAATTTTTGAAAAGCTTTTAAAAAAATTGAAAAGTGAAAGAAATTGACTTTTTTTAATTTGAAATATTTTGTTGAAAATTTCGAACTTTTTTTCAAAGCAATCACGTTACGTTAGCTGCTTAGAGACGAAATATCGAAGCGCTTAAACGGCGCGTTGCACTCTAACTTAACTCACTATTAATTAAAATCTTTATAAAATATCTGATAATTTGATGTGCATATGCCAAATGGCTTTTGTTGTGCTTTTTTACTGGATTTCCAAAACCGCTAGACCTGCCTTCCTAAAAATGTAATCAGTTTGGCATTTTTTGTCCCGTATATTCGAAACGGCTTATCCTGCCTTTGCCAAAAACTAATCAGCACGTCTTCTTACCTTCAATACATGACAAATGTTTTCTGAATTTTTCAAATTGGTTGATCCATGTTCGCGAAATCGTCGACGAAAATTTGCCAAAATGTTCAGAAATCTTTGATGATATATAAAATTTTTTGTTTTAGATTTTTTTGCGATTACTATAACTGTATATGAGATTTATTTTTAATCAGTTAAATATACCAATTGAAATAGACAAAAATTACACAAGTTAAAATAAACAAACTCTTCGGCAAAAATGGTTAGTTCTCCAGCTATTAAAAAAGCACTAAAATTAAATATTTATCGCAAAAAAATTTCCCTTTGCCCAACAATTTAATTAGTAAATTTTATGTTTTCTCGATCATTATGAATAAAAAATGGTTGGAAATCACCGACTTAATAACTAATTAGACAAAATTTTGCAATCTGCAAGTGATTAATTAGATTTAAAAAATCTATGTTCATACTAATTTGAGTGCACAAATCCGCACATCACATATAGTAGGTACACATGGTCTAAAAGCTCGTCCCATTATTCTAAAAGTTAATGAGTTTTTATAATTAATCATTTATCGTAGTTCCATAAAATTTATGTTAGATGATATTTTGAAAAAAGATTTTTACAATAAATTACGAAGAAACTGTGCGGTCGATCTTGACGAAAAACAATTCAGGACGATCGCCAACTGAAAACTTTCGATTAGTTTTTGAATTTTTAAAATTGGTTCAAAAATGTCAAAATGTCGTTTTTTTAAGACGCTTTAATTTTTTGTCGACGACATCAGAGCCGATCAACCGATTTAAAGGATTTAAAAAACATTCGATTTGTGTTGATAAATTGTCAAAGGCAGGTTTAGCGGTTTTGGAGATACAAAAAAAGTTTAAAAGGTTATCAATTTTATTTGAAAGAACTGATCATCCCAATAGAATGTTTAAAAAAATATATTGCTTGTGTTGACGGTGTGAAACAATGATTAGTTTCAAATTAACAGTTTTTGCTATTATCTCATTGTTATTTCTCACTGATAAATTTTTATTGAACATTGATTACTTTTATTCCTCGAATATTTAATTACTGTTTCGATGATTTACATAGTGCTCACATAAGAAATACATAAATATAAACAACCAGAGAATTAGCTTGCGCAAAGTTGCTTAGATTTAATAATCTATAGTGTTGACAGACGATATTAGATAATGTCCATAAAAGATAAAAGAGTAAAATGATAGTGCCTGTAAACCACTAATCACCTTTTTTACTCGCACATCCGTATGAAAATTAACTAAATTTTAAATAATTAAAATTTGTCCGGGGCCTCTTGCGAGGCCCCCCCCAGGCGCGAGGCCGTCGGCGGCCGCCGACACCGCCGACGCCTCGCGCCGCTACTGTGTGTATGCATGTATGTATGTATGTATGTATGTATGTATGTGCGGATACAAATTTTCGTCGACGATTTCGGGAACACGGATCAACCGATTTGAATAATTCAAAAAACATTTGATTCGTATTGATAAGGAGACGTGCTGATTAGTTTTTGGCGAAGGCAGGTCTAGCCGTTCCGAAGATACGGGGCAAAAAGTGCCGAAAACGGTAACTCAGTTTTTAGGAGAACGGAGCGTCCGATTTGAATAATTCGAAAAACATTTCACTTGTATTGATAAGATGAAGAATCGATAAAATTTTCATGAAGGTAGGTCTAGCGGTTTCGGAGATATGGAGGAAAAAGTAAAAAAATGAGCCATTTGGCGGTCAAAAATGATCATTAGACATATGCACATCAAATTATCAGAAATTTTATAGAGATTTCAACAATAAGTATATATTTTGTTAACATTCCTATGGGTTCCGTAACAATGCTTATGCGTTAGACAGCGACGCGGCGCTTGCGCGCTTTATATTTTGTCCCTATACAGTTAAAGCAGTACGATTGCTTTGAAAAAAAAGTTCAGATCTTCCACAATATGTCAAAATAAAGAAAAAAAATTTTTTTTTCAAAAAAAAAAAAATTAAAAATTTTTTTTTTCTTAATTTTTTTTTAAAAAAAAGTAATTTTTTGTCCAATTTATAGTTTCTCAAAAATCTTATTTTTTCAAAGTAATTTTTTTTCAAAAATGTTAATCGTTTTTAAAAAAATAATAATTTTTGGTACGGGAAGTTCCAGCAATTTACCTTAAGGCACAATGCCTTAATTACCTTAAGACAGAATTCCACTTACAGCTAGTTTTCAAAGCAATCGTACTGCTTTAACTGCATAGAGATGACATATCGAAGCGCGTAAACGCCGCGTCGCAGCCTAATGGATAAACATTAGTACGGAACGGATAGGAATGTAAACAAAATTTATACTTATTGTTAAAATCTCTATAAAATATCTGACAATTTGATGTGCATATGTCTAATGATCATTTTTGACCGCCAAATGGCTTTTTCATACTTTTTTTACTTGATCTCCGAAACGTCTAGACCTGCCTTCCTGAAAATTTGATCAATTTTTCATCTTGTTAATACAAGTAAAATGTTTTTTGAATTATTAAAATCGAACGCTCCGTTTTCTTAAAAACTGAGTTACCGTTTGTGACATTTTTTGCCCCGTATCTTCAAAACGGCTAGACCTGCTTATGCCAAAAACTAATCAGCACGTCTCCTTATCAACAGCAATCGAATATTTTTTGAATAATCGAAATCGGTTGTACCGTGTTCCCAAAATCGTCGCCGAAAATTTGTATCCGCACACACATACACATACACACACATACATCCATTTTTTTAAGGTATGCCAAAATGTTCAGAAACCTCTGAAACGTAAAGATATATAAAAAATTTCATTTTAGATTATTTTTGCGATCACTATAACTTACCGTACCGAAAGTTATTTTATTGGTTTAACACAATTAATTTCATCCATTTCAGATTCTAAAAATTTATAGACGTAAATTGTAATCAGTAGCTACAAACGAAACGGCATAGATCCTGATTAGAATCGGTTAAAGCGCAAAAAATCGGTCCAAAATTGTGGGCTAAAACGTGGACGACGTAAAAAAAATTTAAACATTTCTGCTAGTTACAAGGTAACTGATAAACGCTTGTCCTTTATGAGTTAAATCGAATAACTTTTAATGTTTTTAAATCGGTTCCATACATGCACACTATTCACATTAGAGGTGGGTCGTTGACGGTTTTGCCGTCAACGAAACGAAACGGTTATCGGGGTTTCGTCAACTAGTTAAATAACTAGTTATTTTTCAACTATAGTTATTTTTAACGATTCAACGCTGGCAACGTTAAGAAACTGATAGTTGAAATAACTGTTTCATTGAAAGTTGGTAATATGAAGTTTGTTCTTATAAAAGTCAAGTTGACGTTGGATTTGATGAATAAAAAGAAATAAATGTGAATTGTCACATTTATTACACACACACACACACATATATATATATATATAATAAATAAAGGTTTAATTTAAAAAACTTAAATATTTTTATTACAGCAAAGCCATATACTAAAACATCGAATTTACATGTTATATAAAAATAGCAATATAAAAATGTATAGTTATATAAAATGTTATGAAAAATAAAAAATCAATTTTCAGGTTTAGTTTAAAAAAATTATTACAAGACAAATGCTATGAGATTTTTATGAAAAATATTAACCATTGAAAACTATAATAAATGTAACTGATTTTCTAAAATTAAACGATTTGGCGCGTGTTGCAAGTTTCTTTTAAGATGTACATGTACATCTGCAATATTATAAAAGCAGTAGCCTAACAATAAGCGATTTTCATAGTATTAGTTGATCCTTTCCGACGCAGGTACCTGCCTACGTTCGTTTTCGACAACGAACGAATTCCTATATCGTTGAAAAAACTAACTGGCCGCCATGTTTTCAACTGCTTCGCAACCAGTTGATTTTCAACTAGTTATTTCGTTGCGACGAAACGGTTAGTTAGGTTGAAAATAACCGTTCGTTGATTCAACGCCCATCACTAATTCACATACACATACTTTAGAGACTGAATATTCCACTATGTGCCAAACTAGTAGAATATGAAGATGATGTAGCCATAGTAGTTGCTGCCAATCAAATTGATGAGATCGTAGTTCTATTTGACATAACATTGAGAAAAATTAATCCCTTGATGGAAACAATGAACCTACAATTAGCACAATAGAAGGGTAAACTTGTTCTTTTTTCAAGTAGAAATATAATAGTCTCTATTATATCTAGCTGAAGATAGTAAATATAGAGATCACGTATATAACCTTATGTATGTTACCTTTGCGAAATGCTTGTTTCTCAATTAAATCAACAGGTGGAAGAAGGTAGTGCTGAAGCGTCAGTACTTAAGACGAGACTTGCTCGACTGATGTCATCAGTGGTTACTTCGGTGCTAACATATGGTATTTCCGTATTGGCTGATGCTCTCAAGACTCAAAAATCGCGGAGAATGGCAGGACATATATGTCGTTTGAGTGTCTTAAGAGTTGCTTGCACATTTCGCACAATATCGGAAGAAGCTGTGTGCGTCATTTCAGTAACTCTGCCTCTATAGTCTTAGCAGAACAAAGACGGATAATTTAACAACAAAGAAACCAACAACCTGTCCTGAAAAGTTGAGATTAGAAAAACGGCAGAACAGCATTGACCGATGGCAGCAACTGTGGGATGTCGCAGTGAAGGGCAGTGGACGCATAGTCTCATTCCAAACATCAAAATCTGGCTAAATCACATGTATTGAGTTAATAAAGTTAATTATAGTACTACGCAAATGCTATCTGGGCACGGCTGTTTTCGAGCTACCAAAGTGCTAATAGACCTGTCTGCGATCTTCGGAAAGAAGAGCGAATGGGAATAATTACAATATAGGTATAAATTCAGAGCAATAATTATGACATTCTAGATCCTTCCCTCACAATGTGATGCCTAACGGCGGTTTCCGTGATGGCCAGAGGCAAGGGCAAAGCAAAGATTTCAGGCGGTATAGAGTCCGGGTATGCCATACGAAATACCAGTCTGGTATGCATAAATGCATTTCCTTCGCTATACAAAAAAATACACATACACATACACACACAAATATATATATATATATATATATATATATATATATACTTTTTCCAATATTGGTTTCATTCAGAATGACTTGAAACGTCGAAGAAACGGAAATAAATATGTACTTATCTGCTAATTGTAAAGAAACCAGAGTCCTTATCGAGTTTTATCAAAAGGTTTTAAAAATTTTGATATCGCGACCGTTTTTAAAAAATTTACACAAAAGGTCAAATTATGCTTCGCAAACATTTACTTTTTCTAATTTTCGTCTCAAACAATTCAGGATCACTTAAAACGTCGAAAAAATAGATATATAGCAAATCTGATTTTCTAGCAAATTTCTTCTTAGAAAAATTAAAAATATGAAAATTAAAAAAAAAATGAATCAGTTTATCAATCGACTTAAATATCTCAACATGGTGAATCCTTTGCTAATTGTTTTCTCTTACCCCGGGTGTAAAACGAGACAGCTCCTGACAAAGTCTTTGGCAGTTTCCGAAACGTCTTGAAACAGATCTTGAGGAAACGCCAATTCATTCTGTGTGATGTTAAGATAGGTTTCCTGTTTGCTGTCACCAGCAAATGGTGAGAAACCTGATAAAAGGACATAAGTCAAAACACCGACAGACCAGATATCCGTAGCCAAGGAGAGACGTTCATATTGGAGCACTTCGGGAGCTGAAATAAATTATAGATGTAATTTAATACTCTGACTACGAAAGAAATCAAGAAATGTCGCAATCAAATTTTCCAATAATGATTATATTTATGATATAGTTATCGTTTGTTCTGATGTATTTATTTACTCACCGACATAATCAGGAGTACCCATAATTTCTCTGACTTCGACACCAGGTTGGATCAGTCGAGATATTCCAAAATCACACAGTTTAACATCACCCAGAGTGTTTGCTTTATTGTCACCACTGTAAAATAGAAACAACAAATAATTAAAATGATATATATATATATATATATATATATATATATATAGAAACTATTCAGAGCAATAATAGTAAGATGGCCATAATTTTGAAACGTAAACTTGAAGTTGTCCTTCTTAGTAAAAATTAGCACTTGTGCCAATTAGTCAAAAAGTTCATTTTTTTAATTTGTGGTAATTGTCGTAAATTGAAAATGATAGTTCAAAATTGAAAATCTGAGAGACTATTTTAACATGCCTTTAGAATTTTTTATTCTGTAATTTTCTCACTCATAAAGTATTGTTTCGTATAAGCATACTCATCGTATATATCATTTTCAGATATTTGATGGGTAGATATAATTTTATTATCAATTTTAGTTCACCAACATGCGCTTGTATGTCCTGAAAACGCAGTCCCTAAAATTTTATAATTCAACTACTTTTCGTATGGCTATAATATAATATTTTAGGATATTCGTTCAGACCATGAACTATATCGCCATTGTAAGTTCCATTAAAATGCATTTTTTATATTTAATTACAAAAAATAGACCCGGGCAATCTTTACCAAAACCTAGTATAGTCAGCACGAGTCCCAAATGATACTTTCGAATAGTTTTTGGATTTTCAAAATTGGTCAAGGATTATTTACAAAAACGTGAACAAAGTATTTTGCACTTTTCTGATTAAGCGGTGCTTAATCCTTAACGAGCTTCATCGAATGACTTTGGAATAGAAAAATCGTTGACGAAAGGTCAAATTTTGGCTCGCGTCAAAGAGCTCATTTCTCAGATTTTTTGTGAAAACAAATTTCTCATTCGTAAAGTTAAAAAAAAACAAATTCAAGTGTTATATTAGAGCAACAAATAGTAATAAATTGTATATCACTTTACACATCTTCGGAATGTTCTCTACTAATCAGATTTTATTACAGATGCTATGACCTAAGTTCCTTACAACAAGTATAAGTAAATCACATTTTCTACTAATCAGTTACTTCGACTAATTATTTTCTCTATACTAACCTGTCTTCCCCTTTGCATACTAATAAGTTCTGTGGTTTTAAATCCAAATGAGCTATGTTGTGTGCATGAAGGTCTCTAAGACCCCGAAGAGTGTGTCGCAGAGCCCTACGAGCATCCACTTCACTCAAATGCTCCTCTTCATCTAAAAGATGCTGCAGCTCACCTCCAGTAGCCCTGAGAAAAAACTCAGTTAAAAAACCAATTATGGGATAAGCTCACTATTTTTTTATAGTGATTTGAGAGAGTAGGACCAAAAAAGAATAATAAGCCTGTTCTTAGCTCTGTTATGTTATAGGACAACATGCTATTTTGAGATTAGTTTTGTGCCATTGTCAACATCAGATAATCAATTATAAATATTGTAATAATAATATTATAATTATTGAATGCATAGCATATTGACAGTTTGGGGATTACCAATACATCAAGCTAACATCAATAAAAATAAGATACGTTTAAATAAATTGGCTCCCAGAATATAAATTAATCTTTAAAACACTCTTGAATTCAAAACATGTAATGTTAGTCCGGAAGATTGTCCGGGAGATTGATAATGTAGCTATGCCCAAGAAATGGCTCATAAATTATTATAAGAAAATATCAGTTTTCAATTTTGAAACTTTTATTAAATTATGTGGGATATGATACAATATATATGTACATGTTTTCTACCCTAAGGGTATTTTATTACATTTATAAATGTTTTCAATTTCAGTTATTGAATACAATTAAAAATAATAAAATCTATACGTAACAAAAAAGAAAAACTTTTAGCAGTTTCCCAAAAAAATTACATTTCAGTTTTTTTTAAGAAAGAAAAACGTAATAAAGTATTCAACTAAGTATAAAAGAGGGAAAAAATTGCAAACATTATCATAGACAACAACTGGTTGATACAGAGTCATATTCAATTTTTTTTCTTTGCCACTATGGTTCGAGCGGGCGATATTGGCCAAGGCCTGGATGTCGTTGTTCGAGTGATCCTTACTTTTTAGGTAAAGCTTTCAGTAAGCTTTTCAATTTGATTGAGTATCTGTATGTCAGTCTGTTCATGTATGTATTTTGTAAAGTAATAGTGTTCGGTCAGTGAGTCCCTTGATTTGTTAAAAACTAGTCGTAAGGCTTTTTATACAGTCTGTAGGTATCTCAGATTGTTCTTTGTTGTCGTGTTCTATGCTGGAGCAAATATCTTATTCAACCACATTTATTAATGTACTTACAATTCCAAAACCAGAGCGACTTCTGCCCTGGTTTCATATACTTCGACGAGCCGCACTACGCGTTCCGATCCAGAACACAGGTCCAGCACCGCCATCTCGTGACCGATCTCCCTACTGGTATCTGCAGCGCGGCGCCTGCGCCGGATGAATTTTCCTGCGAACGGTACACCACTAGTTTTGTGAACGAGGCGGCGGACTGAAGCAAACTTTCCTCTAAAAAAGAAAAAATTAAATTAGGAAACTGAACATTTATCTTTGGATCTCAAATTAGTAATGATCAAAAGATAGAACTTTACTAACAAGGATAAAATGTAGGGAATGTGTGAATAAAAATGGTGCTGATTTATGATCTTTAAGAGAAAGAAAACACTAATTAAATTGCAGGATAATTTCTGGTACTCTCGCTCTCTTACATTTAATATAAGAAACTCTTGAATTATTTGTGAACATTTAAAAAATTTTTAGAACATAATATATTTACTAAATAAACGCTGAAATTTAAGCTAAAACGTTTGAATTTCAAATAACACTTGTCATAAGATTGCTAATCAATTAGTTAAATAAAACAGAATGACTATGTAAATTTTATATTCTAATTAAATGTATCAATACAATTTATCGAATATAAAATAATAAATATTTGTTCTGGATGTTTTAGCACTGGATATGTGTCATCATTCAACAGAAAAAGAATTAAACTTAAGTTACACGTACGCTTTACAAGTGCACTTTTATTTGTTCGTCGGTAATTTGAATTTGAAAAGAGGATTCATGCATGGATGCCTTTTTCCCACAATTTTAAAGTATCTTTTCAAAACAAGCGCACACGCCTATATATTTAAATTAAAAACTCTTATTTATACGAAAGAACATTAAATTTTAGTAAAAAAATCTTTGTGAACTCGGATCGGAAGATCTGTAGAATATCCTATAGAATAATAAATATTCCTAACCATATATATTCAACCTATGTCGTTGTGTAATGGTTAAGAACATAATCTAACTATCTTATTATTAAAATTACTATATCATTAAAAACTATAGTGGATTCGATTATAGCATCGGCCAGCTCGATATCGAGCAGTATGATATCAAATTTCCACTTGAGGTTGTAGATTTCAAGTAAAATGCGCCTTTCATGGGCATTGCAGCAAGGCATACACACCAATACTATATACACACATATATATATATATATATATATATATATATATATATATATTTGAATGAAGCAAAAAAATTCGATTGACGAGAAAACAAGGTTTTATGTGATTAGTTTTTGGTCAAGTCAGATCCAGCCGTTTAGAACATACGGGACAACAAGTGCAAATAATGGCAAGAGTAAGGCGCATCCAATAATTCAAAACACGTTTTACTTGTGTTGAGGAAGTGAAAAATTGATTACATTTTTAGAAAGACAGGTCCAGCGATTTCTGTTTATCTCGAAACTGTCAAAAGGCTGTATATGGTGTTTATGCAAGCGATGAGATGATTCACATTTTTTATACAGTCAATGGGTGAAAATTAGGTAGCATCTGTTTTTGAACCGCTCAATGACATTTCCATGTTGTAATATAACATAAAACAAGTAATGAGAATAACTATTACGCTTATAATAACATTTTGAATGAAATGAGAGTGACTTTACCATAAGATGTCCGAAAATTGGCCCATAGTATTTTCCGCGGTCATCGCATGGTAATATTTTACGTTTTATTTTCAGTAAATGTCGAAAACTTGTCAAAAATGTTATCAAGTTATGAATATTGATCGTTTATATATATATATATATATATATAATATATATATATTATATATTTATTTTATAAGTACAATATGAATGTTTATTCTGTGGGATGTTTAGTTTCATTGGTAAGACAGGTGGCGCCAGTCGATGCAGAACAAAGGATTCGACTTGTAACGCTTTTCTATTTATAGTTCAACATATATTCATATGTCGTAAATATTGTTATTTTATTTATTTATCTGCTCAACATACACGCATTGTTATATATGCACAGAGAAATAGAGAGTTCTATTTTCCTTCATGGAGCCAGAGATTTTGTTTGCGTATCAGTAGAGTTCAAGTTTTCTTTTGTAAGTCAAGTTTGTCCATCCGTAGATAATCTTTCAATATTTAGTCAATATTGTATTGGTTCGTCAGGAGAGTTTCCTCGGACGATATGTTCCTCGATCAATACGAGTCACGTTCCGAATTGTGAGGCATATAACTAGTTGCTATATAATATATAAATCTAGTTATATATCAGTTTTGCTTGTCAGTTGAGTTCTCGTTTTTCTTATTTAAATCGTGTATACTGTCAAGCAATAGTACTAAGTCGATTATCGGTTTGCAAGTGGAGTCCTTTTTTTCTTCCCTAAATTGCGTTTGATCATCAGAAAAGTTACCTTTCTTTGAGTGTGTATCTCTTGATTTTTTCTTGGACGAGCATTATTAGTTACTTTTATGCAAGCAAATTCGGCTTGTTCGTCCGTAGCGTTTTCTTTGCATTTTCTGAGTCAAGTTTGTTCGTCAATAAAAACCTATTTCGTTTTATCAGAAGACTTATGGACCAATTCTCCAGTAAAATAGATCGTAACATAGCGTTGTTACAGAGGTAGGCATTTGCTGTGCAAGCAGGCGTTTTAGGTAAGATAATATAGATAATATAGATATACATTTATAACACATACATAAAGCTAGATTTCACGTATAAAATCATCGCACAGCGAATATATAACATTTTGACATTTTTAATACGATTTTATAGGAAGTAAACAACGTAACATAACGTTGCCATAACAACGCTATGTTACGGTCTATATCTCGAGGCATTGGCCCGTTAATTTGATCAATGGTAGAGTTCTTAGAGTTCTTAGAGAGTATAGTACAAAGTAGTTTTTATAAGGATTCAGTTTGGTCATCAGTAGCGTTCTTACCTTTCTTCACTCCCGTCGGTTTTGGCGAGACAAGATTCAGTTTGTTTGTGAGTAGTTTTATTTTATTTTCCTTAATCTGAGTTTCTTCGTTAGTAAAGTTTGATTTCTTTTTATCGAGTGGCGACTTATAAGATAATTCTCGAATAATATAGCCATGTCATATCATAAACGTCACAAATAAGAGTTGACGGAAAGATTTGGTACTCTCAGTGCACCTATTTTATTTTAAGAAATCTAATTTTCTTGATGTTGCCTCACAATGTTCTGGTAGTAACGAAAACTAACCAATGCTATTTAGTTTGATCGGTAGTGGAGTTCCCTTTTCAGAGACCACCATACTGTTTAGACTTGCCTTTAGCGATTAAGAATTATATACATAAAACAAAAATTTCAATACTTTTATTAACAGTAAATTATAATTGATTAAATAAATTATTTTATGAACAGTAAATTATATTGATTAGGTTTGCTTGGCATCCAAAGAAAGAGTCCGCCCTAACTTCTGTTCTAAAGGGCCCCAAAATACAGAATTGTAAAGTCCAATATAGAAGGTAGAAGCTTGAATATGAGTTTCACAGAGTTAGGTTGTAAATAAAGGTGGCACACAGACACAGATTTTACTCAAGGCGTTGACATAGGTTCCATTACCACTTTGTTTGTCAATAGTGTTCTATTTATGTTATAAAAAATAAAACTATTATTAATAAGTTCTAGTGTGTGTATGTGTCAATTACACAAGTGCATCCCGGTGTTACGGTGTTACGTATTAGTTGCATATTATGTTCTCGTTAGTTGTGTCATTTAAATCTTTGGTCGTTACACCCCTTTAGGACGTGTCGACAAAAACAGGATCTCTTATGCAAAACGCACATTTAATCCAATCGACACACACAAATACACACATACTCTGACACACTATACACACAACATACCCATAACGAACACACACAAACATTGACAACACTAAATGCGAACGGCCTTGAACTCGGCGCATCGCAAGCCGTTGCATTCGCGGGTTCAAAGTCCTTTCATTGAGGAAAAACGGAGCCAAAAAATTATCTTTATGTTTGTGTGAAATAACAAACAGCGAAGGTTTCGATTAGAACGTTCAAATATTTGATTTTGTTTAAGTACAGAAATGAGTTTCGAAAAGACTTGATCTGCATTTGTCAAAGACTGACCAAGCATTCCATTTGTCATCACTAATCAAATTTATTTTAGATATTTCGAAAATAATGGCAAAACATCGTGTCACGATTTATGTTGAGTTCATGTAGAATACCATAATCTACCTGAGCCATTCCTACTTCGACTCGGATTTCAGTTAGTACAATTCTGTGGCTTTCATCGAGTTTATTTTAGTTTTTTTTTGCTCAACAGTAGTCTCTTATTAATATTTTTAGATATACATAGTTTGTTCTCCTATATAACTCAATTTCTCCCAATCTAATCAATATTCAGTTTGCACATTCTATTTTATATAATAGAGTTTGGTTTTTAGTACAGTTCTGTACAGTTATTCAATTTACATTTCATATTCTATTTGCGCGAACAGCTTGATATCAAGAAGTAGTGATATTAGTGTTCACTTAAAATTATAGATTTAAATATGATTTCTGGCACACACACTTTATATATTTTTACGTTTAATGACATACGTGGGAAAAAAGAGCGCACGGTACTTGATGACTCACAATAGCGGAACTGATTGATGTCTTTGAACTTTAATTTCGTTTAAAGTGGTAAATAATAATGAATTAAAGGAGAATAAAATATACAAATGCCCATAAATATACATGAGACATTTTAAATTTAAACTAGTTGTATATGGTGTGTAAGTGTACATTTATATACACCCAAGAAAATTGTTTTCTCAAAAGAATTTTATTTCTCCTCATCAATTCGAGATACAGTTT